CAATCGCTTGCTAGATTGTATGTCTCCTACCTCTTGATTTATTCCTTTTTCTTCTCCTCCTTTTTGGTGTTGCTGTTGGTTTCCAGTTCGATAGAGGAGACTATGATGTGGAAATGTTGGTTCTTATAAACAAGGAAGAATTAGGAAATTGAGGTGGGGAGAAAACTTGTAAAATAAAGTTACTGCCTGTCCTATGCCAAATTGTAATTAAGTGAACCAAGACAATTCTATTAAGTTCAGTTTTATGTGGTAGGCGGAGAGTTTCCTTTTTATCTCATCGAGGATAACAACATCCTAATAGAAATGCTTTTGGAGGAGAGTGTTATTTAAAGTTTGTGTCATGATTTAGAAGCTAGGAAGGAAAAATGAGCACGGTATTTTCACCTCATTGTATTGGGCTGGGGCTCAGCATAAACTGCCTTTGTTTTGGGGTTCCATTAAACCTTGGATTAGTCATTTAACTATTTCAACTTTGTTTTCCTATCTAAAATGTTGAGAGTAGATTAAATGCTTTTTCTCATCGCTAAAAATGTTTTGATTTATGACTGACATAATGAAATGTTTTATTCCTAATCTCTCTGTCTACAGTCAAGGAGAATCAATTTCTTTTTATTGCTAGGAAATGAGGGACAAAACATTTTAGGAGGCTAGAAATCTTGCATTATTCAGGGGATTCTGTAATTGACCTTACATTAGAAACTCAGCTGTCATTGCCAGAAGTGTAACCTCAGAAGGGTAAGTCCAAAAGCATCTAATGTTTGTACTTCTTTTAATACCAGAAATTCCAGACCTTTCTTGAATTTGGGATGTACAAGATTACTAGAAAGGGAAATGGCTTCTAGCCCTGGGCCTCCTGGTCTTGATTAAGCACACTTATTCTTTATTCTTGAATATTCTTTATTCCTTAAAAGCCCTTATTATCTAGTCACTTGAAAAAAGAACTTCACAGGTACACTTTCCTCCAGGAAAGGAGAGGGAAACAGCTGAGGGCTGGGCTGCAGGAAGTGATAGGCGTGTAATAATGTTCTTTTTCTGTGTAAGCTGTTCATATTTGTGGAGGGGGTAGAAGGAATACAAACTGTTCTTCGTGTGAATTTGGTGTTATGTCATTCAAATGGAAGGAATAAAGGTACGGCCAATTTGTCACAACAGGCATTTGAATCTGCGCCTGGCTTTTTGAATTCGTGTTTGAGGGTTAGACCTGCTGCAGCTGGCAAAGATCACATGTACTATTAAATGTGAGCCTTTCAGTCAGTCTTTTAGCTTGGCTTGATGGGGAAGATAGTGGCTTGGATTCTGTGCATTTTGGTCTTAAGTCATGTAAGGCTGATAGGCTATTGTTCTGCAGAGTCTCTCAAGTTTGTATGTGGTGGGGTTTTTTTTTTTGTTTTGTTTTTTTTTTACTGTTCTCATGAAGACAAATCTCAGACAGCTACTAGGGAGTTATTTTTAAACTTAGCAGTTACACTTAGTTTTATCTCATTTTGGCTTTTGCCCAGATATAAATAAGTAAGTTAAATGTTTCCATCACTATATTTTTTAGGAATGTGACTGAATGTTGTTGGCCTTCCAGATCTAACTTCTACAACAAAGCAGCAAGTCTATAGGTGTCTTGAATCTAACAAAAAACCCCACTCCACTTACTTTAAAAAATCATTACATATTAATTTCTTGATCTGTTTTAATCAATCTGTGACACAGAAACAATTCATGTGTAATTTAGAGGTTTTATATTTAGTAGATAGTCTCCCAAAACTGTTTTCTAAACATTAATCTGGGAGTTGGCTTAAAGATTGGGGAAGAGATAGCCTCAATACAAGGGGTGGCAGATTAGAGGACTTGTGACAGATTTTAAATTACAGCTAAGTTAGCCAAGGGATGAACATGTGTATCACATTGACTTTAGCTTAAAATGTTCTGGAGGAGGTTTTTGTTTGTTTGTTTGTTTTTACTTCCTATCATAGTTATGCAAATGTGCTCATCCATTGTCATAGGGTTTTATAGGCCACTAGAGGCCCGGTGCACGAAATTTGTGCACAGGAGGGCGGGGGGGGGGTGTCCCTCAGCCCAGCCTGCACCCTCTCCAATCTGGGACCCCTCGAGGGATGTCTGACTGCCCTGTGGGATCGGGCCTAATGGGCAGTCTGACATCCCTCTCACGATCCAGGCCTGCTGGCTCCCAACTGCTTGCCGTACTGCTTTCCTCATTGCCCCTAACCTCTTCTGCCTGCCAGCCTGATCATCCCCTAACCACTCCCATGCCAGCCTGATTGATGTCTAATTGCTCCCCTGCCAGCCTGTTTGCCCCCAACTTTCCTCCTCTACCGGCCTGATCACCCCTAACTGCCCTCCCCTGCAGGCCTGATTGCCCCAACTGCCCTCCCTTACAGGCCTGGTCCCTCCCAACTACCCTCCCCTGCTGGCCATCTTGTGGTGGCCACTTTGTGTCCACATGGGGGTAGCCATATTGTGTGTTGGAGTGATCATCATTCTGCATATTACTCTTTTATTAGATAGGATAGAGGCCTGGTGCACAGGTAGAGGCTGGCTGGTTTGCCCTGAAGGGTGTCCCGGATCCGGATAGGGGTTCCCTTTGTGAGTGGGGCAGCCTGAGCAAGGGGCCTGTGGTGGTTTGCAGGCTGGCCATGCCCCCGGCTACCCAAGCAGAGGCCCTGGTATCTGGAGTTTATCTCCTACAATTGAAACTTTGTAGCTGGAGCAGAGCCAAGCCTTCTGCTGACTCCTTGGTGGCAGGGGATTTAATTACCTTCTATAATATAAGTTTTGTAGCCTTAAGTGGAGGCCTGGGCTAGCCAGGGCGTGGAAAGCTTGGCTTTTTCTCTATCACCTGGGAAACCCAAGCCTCCCTCCTGCTTTCTCTGTTGCTATAGCCATCTTGGCTGGGCTAATTGGCATACTCACTCTGATTGGCTTGTGGTGTGGCTTGTGGGCGTGGCTTGTGGGTGTAGTGGAGTGATGATTAATTTTCATATTGCTCTTTTATTATATAGGATAATCAAATTTCTACTTACTATTTGAAACATATCCTTAGGTTGTTTATGAAACATGCACGTGTTTCTTATGGTGTTTTTCTTTAGCTCACAAAGACTTTGTTATGAACCACAGTTGGGGTCACTTCGGTAGTTTTATTGGAGTCCATAAATTTAGTTGTGTTGTGATTTATGCCTGTAAAAAGAGCACAGTTAGAGAATGGCTCTTTTAGGATTAGATTTTGTGTTCTCCCCAAATTTCCTCTTTTCTCTTTCTCTCTCTCTCTCTCTCTCCCGGATTTTAATATGATAGAAAGTGTGTATAAAAGATTTTTGAAGATCTATGTTAAATATCTCATTTGTTAGCATTTTTAGATATTAAGGAGGGGGAGAGGCTGTCTATATTAAATATATTGCATCAAGAGTTAACATAATATACTAATTTCTGCTCTCAAAAGTATCTTCAAATATTTATTATATTGGCTTTAATTCTATTTATATAAATGTTTCCTGCTGCCCAGATAAGTAAAAGGATTTTTGGATTGTGAAATATGATTCTGCTAAATTATTATGCCAACATTTGTAGAACTAATTATTAAAGAAAATGTTTGAACATAAACTTCACAAATACATTTATAAAATAAAATTGAGTTAGGTATTGAAGATGAAAGGGGAGGTGAATAATAATCAGATTGTCCCTTATAAGAAGTAAAGTAATATAAATACTTAAGTGTGTAAAATATCTATGTTGTCTCTCAAAGTACTTGGGCCTACAATGTTTTCTTTTTCTGTATTTTTCTACTTTTGTTTTCATCTAAAAGGCATTTCTGTCTTCTTTAGCAAGATCTGTCTGTCACAGAGGTGCTCAGCTATGCCAGAAGCCCTGGTGATCTTGTCTGATACAGATGAGTACTGCAAGTATTGACTGAAATTGAGGACCAGAGTGGGGAAGTAGCCATGTGCCCTCCTCTTTTTAAAATTAAAATTTTGATGCCAAAGCAAGTAGAAGCAACTTGGAATTGCCATTATCTATTTCTCAAGGGATTCTTCTAGAAAGAAATATGAAACTGTAATGGCTCTCCTTTTAAAATAGAAGGGATTCCTTAAATTTTTCATGTGGCCCCAAGGAAGGAGTCTTTTTGCTTCTGCAAAATTTCTAGACCCCTTTTTATCTTATGATGCAGCAGGAGTTCCATAAGGGCATGTTCCATAACACAAATCCTTATTACCATTATCCCAGTTATTCTGATTTTACTCTAGTTTTAATGGCTAGGGAGCAACATGAATAGAGATAGAATTATATACTCAAATGAAGATTAATCTTTTTACTTTCACCTGCCCCATCTTCCCAAAAGTGTTTAGTATTTCAGATATACTAGTAAAGCATGTAGATACGTGAAATGGTCTATTTAAGCACATTCTATATAATAAAAACCTAATATGCTATGTGTCCAGTCATTGTTTAACCAATTAAAGAGTAATATGCTAATGATATGCTAAGGCCAATCAACTGCTCACTTTGACGTGCACTGACCACCAGGGGGCAGACACTATGACTGGTAAGTTAGCTTGCTGCTGGGGAATGGCCAATTGGAACTTAGTGAGCCAGGCCAGACACACCCTAGAGCTCTTCCATGGTCTCTCCTTATCTGGCCAACCTTCCATGCCCCTTGCTGGCCCCTATCGTGCACCAGTGGGGTCCCTTGGCCTGGCCTGTGCACTCTCGCAATCTGGGACCCCGTGGGGGATGTTGGAGAGCTGGTTTTGGCCCGATCCTGCAGGCCAGGTTGAGGGACCCTATTGTTGCATGAATCGTGCACTGGGCCTCTAGTGTGATTATATAGTCCTAACTAGTTGACAACACTACTGAAATTCTGTGAGAGGATGATGGAACTGTAGCATTGAGCCTTTTTCATTAGCTGGAACACCAGAAATGAATCAGTTTTAACTTGCCAGCTGTTTAAATGGGTTTCTTATTTTCAGTTGATTGTTTTATATTTTTGTTTTAAGATCTTAGCAAAGCAATGTCTCAAGATGGCGCTTCTCAGTTCCAAGAGGTCATTCGACAAGAGCTAGAATTATCTGTGAAGAAAGAACTAGAAAAAATACTTGTCACAGCACCATCACATGAGTTTGAGGTAAGGACTCTATAATGTTTCTTGCTTTCCTTCATCTATATGCTGAGTTGCTGTTGCTGATCATCCCATTTAAAGTAAACACAAGATGTAACGAGAACATAAAAAATTAGGATTGCTTAACAATTAAGAATTTTCAACATTTAGCTTATTATAAAACCATTGTCTTTTTCTTAATTCTAGGAAGTTTCTAAAGTCTAAACAGAACAAAATCACACTTTATTTCTTCTGTGTTTTGATATCATTGGGTAGAGAAATGGATACCAATGTTCAGGGAAGTTAGTTTATGAGCCATATATCCTGATTGCCTTTTTAAAAAGATCCAGTTCTAGTAGAACTATGCTATCGATACTTGTCAGCTGTAATAGAGATCCCACGATAGGCAATTTAACTTTTCTACTTACAAATCAATAGATTATCCTTTTCATTTTCATATTTAATTTGTACTTAATGTTTTATAGTTGTGTTTTGTTCCTTTTTGTTCTCTTAGTGAAGATTTATTTTCACTGAAAAGAAACAGAGAAAGATATTGATGAATAAATACAGGGAACTATTTGGATTTCCCATGGACCAAATGATGTTCAGAGTACATGACCCTTGTGGGAGATTGGAGGATTATTTGCTTGTATTCCTTATATTCTTTTAAGTGTGGTTCCCATAAGCTTTTCCTCCCTCTTTAGTTTTAAATTGGGGATAAAAAAGATTCCATGTTCTAGTAGTTTAAAAATTTATTGAGAGCATTTTAAGTGTATAATATATATGTTTTTATTAAATATTAAGCATTCTGCTAGTTGTAACAATGATTTCTGTTTTTATAGCACACTAAAAAAGACCTTGATGGATTTCGTAAGCTATTTCATAGATTTTTGCAAGAAAAGGGACCTTCTGTGGATTGGGGAAAAATCCAGAGACCTCCAGAAGATTCGGTAAGTTTTAGTAATATGTAGGAAAATTTAAGGTAATTTAGGACATTGGTTTAACTTTGGGGATAGAGTAACCTAGGGGATCTGTAAAAACCATCAGGAATATTCAGACACAGGAATATTGCTTTACTGATACCTCATGCTGAAACTACACATATAGCCTTCTACATTTTGCCTTCTGATAGACCCAACTTTCCGGTTCTGCAAAAGACTTATAGAAGTCTAATCTCCCTTTAATACCACCTTATAACTTAATATCCCTGACTGTGAGGCAATTCTTTGGAAAATTACTAAATGCACAGTAAGGCTCCCAAACCATCTGATTTTTTGCTGTCTGTAGGGTAATGTATAGATGCTAAGTATTAGTTGTTTGTATGCCTGTGTTGTCTTCATACTAGTCTTTAATGCCAGGGGATTATGTGTCATGATCTAACATTTGTTGAATGGATGATTTAAATGAAGTGATTGTCTAGAGGGGGGACCAAGATGATGGCATTGGAGGACACTGACCTCACTCCCTCCCAAGAACACATCTGAGAGACAACTGAGAGCCAATTGAACATCTTCTGCACACCAGGCAAGGAAGTGGGGGGAGAGGAGAGCCATTTAGAGTGACATTTCTCACATCAACCTGCATCAAAGGTGTGCATGTAAACATTGTCATAACAGAAGATCTATATTTTTGTATAGGAGTTGGCCACCTTGTATTGTAAATAAAATTTTATTGGAACACAACCACACTCATTGATATATTGTCTATTATATATATTTATAATGCTACAATGGCAGAGTCAAATATTTGTGATGGAGACCATATGGCCTGCAAAATCTAAACTATTTTCTTTCTGGCCCTTAATGAAAGACTAGGGGCAGATGCACAAAATTCGTGCACAAGTGGGGTCCCTAGGCCTGGCCAATGATCTGTGGGACAACTGGCGAGGTGATTGGGGCCCCCTGCTTGCATCCACTTTGGCTGGCCTGGCGCCACCTGCTCGCTGGCCCCTGGTCAGGGTCTGTGGGCTCAGAGCAGTTCTTGTGTTGAGCATATGCACCCTGGTGGACAGTGTGCATTATAGCTACCAGTCGTCCCACCAGTCATTCTGCTGTTAGGTTGATTTGCATATTAGGATTTTATATAGATAGATGTTTTCTGACCCCATTTTAGGTATAATTCTTTTCAGTAGATTGTTAGTAGTTTACTTCTTTGTTCCCCCAGAAAATTTACTTTTTTCAATTTGGATGATTACTTTTTAGACAAAAATAAGATCAGTGTTTTATACTAGAGCATGGAAGGCCAAGTCAGCATATACACCTTCATATGACAACTTCATTGTTTTCTAGAGGCTGTGAGAGTGTCTTGCTCCTGGTCATGTGCAGTGTTTGAGCTTACCCATTGGGGATGGGGAAGGATGGGAAATAGATAAAGAGGTGAGGGGTTGCAGAAGCTGCTCATAAAGGTACTGAGGCTAACAGTTTATTTTAGCCTGTTATCACCTGGCTGGCAGTGACCTCTGGTGATAATGAAGTATATTCTCATTTATGTGAAAAATGTTCTCTAAAAAAGGCCTTTTCATTTAATTAGTAACACAAGTTAAGTTGTTCCTAGTTGACTTATGATTGTCATTGTTCTTGTTTACTTTGAAAAAGGGTGAAGGAGTTATATTAGTCAACTTTTTTTTTTAAGTGAGGCAGAGAATTGGCATACAAAATATCATACCAATATGGTGTTTAGCTTCTATTCATAAAATAACTGAGAGCTTTTTGTTTTCTTAGTCTATAAGTACAAAAACATTGAAATGTGTATGTTTAAATGACAAAGCATTCTGAGAAAGTTACAGTGTACATGTGCAGAGTAAAAATACACAGGGTTTTTTTTTTGTTTTTTTTTTTAAATGAATCATAGTATATTGTTCAGCTAATGTTTGCACATCTCTTTGAAAGACTCACTGAAGGCAATTTGGGCAAGGATCTTACATGATGTGACACAGGATGGTTTGCTCAGAGCATGGTGAAGACTTGCAGCTGCAGTCAGCTAATGCAAAAGCCATTAGAGACTTATTTGGTATGTGTGTGAAGATAAAATGAGGCCCCAAATGTAAATGTTTTCTACAAAAAGGAAATAGTGGCATTTAAGGAAATAGCCTTAAGAACATTGCTGGATACAAGCGTCTTAATATGATAATTTAAAAATGATAATATATAGATTTACTAATCTAAGCAAATAAACTAATATTAATTTAGCAAATATTACGAAATCTAATTTCCTACCTTTTGACTCCCCAGTGAATTGAACAGTCTTTAGTTTTCCCCAGGACTACCTTTCTTCACACGTGCCTTTATATTTATAGGACCTTTATTTCAGGAAGAGGACATGCCAAAGGAGACTGACCATGAGACTGTGATTCTTAATTCCATTCTGGTTACTTCTTTATTATTTCACTTTATAAATAGTAAATACATGGCTTCTTTAATGTCAGCTTCATGACTGACTGCGAGAGACCCAGGTAATGTTGAACCAAGGTCTCTAACCACTGTCCTTGTGTCCACTGTAGGGGACAGTCCAGTGCCACAGAGTTGAGCTCCTTGGGAAAATTGTAGTGTGGGTATTTGTGGTAGTACCACTCTTTGAACATATACTACCATTCCCACCTCCACAACCCCTATCCTACAGAGTCTTTTTGGACCATGGCTCATGTGTTGTAATACAGGTTATTTTAGTATTATTCTCTCCACATGTATCTTTTATGTAGGTATCTTGTGTCTTATAATTGGATGAGAAAAACGTGCTTGTGAGGTTCTCCTGTCCCACATCTTCATCTGTGGTACAACTGTTATGGAATTTCCCCATCTTTATTTAATATAGGAGAGCCGTGAACTTGTAAGGTTGACACTGAGAAATTTTATATAAGATGGATGGCCTCTGCCTTCCTCTAATTCTGATCCTTTCTGCCCTGTAATTCCTTGGGGATATTTTATTAAATCCTTATTTTATTTTAGGTTACATTTGGACAGCTGACTCTGTTTCTCCCATTGTATAGAATGAAACTGGAAAGTTTACACCAGGCATCTCAGCCTGGGAAGTCTCTGCAGGGATTTTAGGTCCTACATAGAGTTCTTGAAGTTATAAGTAAAATTTATAAATGTACATATTTTTTAGAGCAGATTCCCTGACTGTCATCAGATTCTCAAAGAGGTTCATAACCTGTAAAGGTTAGAACTACTGTCTTAGCGTGTCATTGAAGAAACAGTTATAGTATGCCTTTTCTCTACAAGCACTAGCTTGGTGCTGGGGTTACAAAAATCAGTCTTGGTCCCTCTTCAGCATTTTGACTTCTAGTTTGTAGAGAAAATGGGTTCAGAAACAGCTATCTATATAGAACAGCATGGCAAGCAGTCCAGGGGGTGCTGTGGACACATCCCACTGGCATGGGGTGGAGGTAAGACTCTCTGGTATTAAGATAGACTATTGGGGTTAACCTGAAGGCAAGACTTCTCTGAGGATGGGAGGAAAATAAAAGAGAAAAAAAGGCTTCGAGAATAGAAGGAGTCTAGAAATAATAGGCTCATAACATGCAGCTTGTTTTCCAGTTGTGGAGCATATGGTTGGATGTGTCTGCTTCTCAAGTGTAGCGCCAGATGCTGAGTAACTTTTCCTGCCATTGCAGCTCCTGTTCACAGAAGCTACACTGGAGAGATGTCAGAAACTACACTTTCCATTTAAGAGAGACACTAATGTTGGAAGATTGGAACAGAATTTAAAAAGCATGCTTCATTATATACCACAGATAGTTTGGTTAGATTTTCAGTATTGTAAAACATCAACCCAAATAGTTTAAAAATACTTATTCTTGTTTTTTGTGTTTGTTTTTTCACATTGTGATAAACAAACCTTATAAGGTTAATCAGCATTTTAGCTGTTAATAGTGGTTTTTTTTTAATGTCAGGTTTATTGAGATATAATTTAAGTATAATAAAATTTATCCTTCTCAGTGTATAGTTTTATGAGATCCAGCAAATGTATACAGTCATTTAGCTACTATCACAATCAAGATATAGACCTTTTCTTTCATCCCAATTTTCCCCTGTGCTGTTTTAAATTATGCTTCTTAAACCCTTACAAGATCCTGTTCCCGTTTCCATCTTCCCTTAAACACACAAGCTAAGTAAATATATATCTTTCTGAAATACTGCTTTTCCTTCTTTCAGACATCTTAAAAGGAAAAAGCTCAGCCTCCACCCTTAGTTTTATTGTCACCTGGCCTTCCTTTCAGCCTTTATCTACACACACACACACACACACCTGCCCTTTATCCTCCCATAGAACCTTCTTTGTATAACCTCTGGTCTTTCCCTCCCTCCCCCACTTACATTTTTTCCAAAGCTGCCCCAATAATGTGAATGACATAATTAAGCTAACAATGTACTTTATATTACTTTAGTCATTGGCTGTTTGGTATCGCAGAGTTTAAAGCTAGTGCACAGCATAAACAGGATAAGGTTAGAAGCTTCCGTTTTATTTTTAAGGAATTTGGGAGTACCCGTTATTCTGAAGCCTCTTTTGTTCAGGTAGATGAATGGAGGGTTGGCTTGCAGGAGAGACTCAGATGTGAGTTCAGTAAGGAGCCAGTCCTAGGCACATAGGTCGGTTGGCTTTTGGACCCTCCCATCTCTACTGTTTGAACTCTTTTCCAGTTCCCTGGGTCACTTACCTTTGTCCTCTCTAATCCATGCTGCACTGAGATGTTCTTTGAAGATCACTACCTTGGCTGATAAGGATATGGTCCAAGCGCCTCACATGGCTGACTAATCTTATTAGTAAAGTTGACGTCTATCAAATGGTGATGAATATTTACCTTTTGTCGTGTTTCAGGAGCAGTTAGCGCCTTCTCTTCATAGTTACCTTTTTGTAGGATCATTTGCCATCTGTAACCACCCTGCTTTTTGTTTGTTTTTGTCACTTGGGTTTTCTGCCAATTCTTTCTGTCATCTCTTCTCCAGTTTAC